AACCACAGGGCATGAGTGAGGCGAGGCGCCCGCAGAATGAGCAGGAGACAGGTGTCATCTGAGGGGAGATCTCGTTTTCTATGAGGGAAGGAACTCAGGTGTTCGTGAGAACGAGAGGAAATCAGACACTTCACTTCACAGTGGATTTCCTAAACAAATGAGAACAGCGAGGATAAATGAACTCACCTTGAGGTACTGGCAGGGCAGTGTTGATGATGTTGCAGGCGTCAGGCAACTGCAGCAAGTGTTGAAGACCGCGACAGGTGTTGAAGTACTGTGTGCTGAATGAGGAGCGATGTCGGTTCGGCAGGGAAGACTGGCTTCGTCCGCAGATGTATCGTGAGATAAAGTCTTGCAGTAACAGAAGTTGAGTCAATAGATTATCTCCAGAGGGTTTCGTGCGTTATCGTGTGGTGCGTTTATCCAAATGTAATGAACAGCAGGGAGTGTATCTCACTGGTCTACCACTAATGTAATGATGTGGTGAGTTCGTGTTACTCTGTGATGGTATGCTGGTTTGGTACTTGGGTGTCGCAGGTTCAATATTTGTTAACACGGGAGTATGGTAGCTAAGAGTATAGAGGACATGCCTGGCAGAGACGTCCAGGGCAAGCGGTCTGTGTGAGCTTGAAGTGTTCACTGAGTTTTTGAGGTGATCACATGTCGTTTTTGTACGAAGTAGTTTAACATTTTCACTACGAAAATGGAAAACATTAATCTTTCGTTGGAGTGTCAGTGCAGAGTCTCTGTTTTTTGGAAGTCCTAGGTTCCTGTGGTCACATATTTGGACAAGGACACTGCATATGTCAGTACAATTAAGTCATGGACATTTGATAACTGCAGTATCGTCAATAAAAATACTCACAAATATAGTGATTGAGAGTAAGGATTTTCTAACAAACATTTTGAGTATAATCAAGATATGTTTACATGCAGTTATAAAGTGATTGGGGTAAGGGTCGGATTCGCTTGCTCTTGGGGCACTTTGTCAATGTCGTTCCGTTTTGGGAGCAGTTCAAAGTTGGCACAGGCTATAACCAGTACAGTGCTGGGTACTGTGGGAAGTCGAGGGTGAGTAGAGGGGTGAGGTCATTAAACTCTCTCTCTCCGTTACTTTTTCTCTCTTCTCTTCTCCGTCTCTCTCTCTCTCTCTCTCTCTCTCTCTCTCTCTCTCTCTCTCTCTCTCTCTCTCTCTCTCTCTCTCTCTCTCTCTCTCTCTCTCTCTCTCTCTCTCTCTCTCTCTCTCTCTCTCTCTCCATCTTCCTCTCTCTTCCTTCCCCTCCTCTCTCTCCCTCTCTCTCTTTTTCCCTTTCCCACCCTCTCACCCTCCCTCCCTACCTCTCTCCCCATCCCTCCTCTCTTTCTCTCTCGCTCTCGCCCTCTCTCTCTTTATCTCTCCCTCCCTTCCCCCCCTCTCTCTATCTCTCCCTCCCCCCCCCATCCCTCCTCTCTCTCTCTCTCTCTCTCTTTATCTTTCTCCCCCCCCCCTCTCTCTCTTTCTCTCCCTCTCCCTCCTTCCCTCCCCGTCACTCCCTCATTCCCTACTTTTCTCTCTCTCCCTCTCACTCCATCCCCTCCATCTCTCTCTCTCTCTCTCTCTCTCTCTCTCTCTCTCTCTCTATATATATATATATATATATATATATATATATGTATATATTTATATATATACCACCTTCACACGCTCCCTCCCTCCCTCCCTTCCCTTCCCCCGCCCTCTCTCTCTCTCTTTCTCCCCCCCTCTCTCTCTCTCTCTCTCTTTATCTCTCCCTCTCTCCCTACCTCTTCCTTCCATCCAACTTCTCTCTCTCTCTGTCCCTCTCTCGCTCTGTGATTCTCTCTCTTTATCTCCCCCTCTCTTTCCCTCTCTCACTCTTTCCCCCTCCTTCTTAGTTTCTGTCTGTCTCCCTCTCTCTCTTTCCCTCTCCCTCCCTCCCGCATTCCCTACTTATCTTTCTCTCTATTTCTATCTTTTAATGATCTCTCCCCTCTACTTCCTCGAATTCCAACGGTACACAGCACTCTACTGGTCACCACCTGCACCAACTTATTCTTAATCACTATGTTTGTAAGCATTATTATTGACGATACTGTAGTTATCAAATGTTCCCAATTTAAGTGTACTGACATATCCAGTGTCCCTGTCCAAACATGTGACCACAGGAACATAAAAGTACCATAAAAACAGCTCTGACACTCCCACTAAATATCATTGTTTTTTATTTTCTTGTGTTAAGTAAAAATGTCAAACTGTATTTCACAAAAACTCAGCATTGGCTCGGTCAACACCTTAAGTTCCCACAGCTTCTAGCCTAGAATAAAGAAGAACTTTATTAAACCATCAGTCGTAACCATTACCCTGGTGGCAGCAGTGGGATAATTTCCCCCACACATCATTGCATTTGGTGGCAGCAGTGGGATTACACTCCTTTCTGCTACATTACATTTGGTGTCAGCACAGTGGGATAATTGCCCCCACGCATCATTACATGTTTATCTCTCTTCCTCCCTACTCTCGCTCTGTGATTCTCTCTCTTTATCTCCCCCTCTCTTTCCCTCTCTCACTCTTTCCCCCTCCTCTCCTTCTTAGTTTCTGTCTGTCTCCCTCTCTCTCTTTCCCTCTCCCTCCCTCCCGCATTCCCTACTTATCTTTCTCTCTATTTCTATCTTTTAATGATCTCTCCCCTCTACTTCCTCGAATTCCAACGGTACACAGCACTCTACTGGTCACCACCTGCACCAACTTATTCTTAATCACTATGTTTGTAAGCATTATTATTGACGATACTGTAGTTATCAAATGTTCCCAATTTAAGTGTACTGACATATCCAGTGTCCCTGTCCAAACATGTGACCACAGGAACATAAAAGTACCATAAAAACAGCTCTGACACTCCCACTAAATATCATTGTTTTTTATTTTCTTGTGTTAAGTAAAAATGTCAAACTGTATTTCACAAAAACTCAGCATTGGCTCGGTCAACACCTTAAGTTCCCACAGCTTCTAGCCTAGAATAAAGAAGAACTTTATTAAACCATCAGTCGTAACCATTACCCTGGTGGCAGCAGTGGGATAATTTCCCCCACACATCATTGCATTTGGTGGCAGCAGTGGGATTACACTCCTTTCTGCTACATTACATTTGGTGTCAGCACAGTGGGATAATTGCCCCCACGCATCATTACATGTTTATCTCTCTTCCTCCCTATCTCTCCCCCCATCCCTTCTCTCTCTTACTCTCTCTCTCTCCATCAATCCCTGTCTCTCTGTTACTCCCTCTCTCTTCTCTTCTCCATCTCTTCCTCTCTCCAGCCCTCTTTTCCTTCCCTGCCTCTCTCTTTTTTTCCTCTCCCTCCCTTTTAACCTCCCTCCCTGTCTCTTCCCCATCCCTCCTCTCTCTCTCTCTCTCTCCCCCTCACTCTTGCCTTCTAACTCTTTATCTCTCCCTCCTCCACCCCCCTTCTCTTCTCTTCTCTGTCTCTCTCTCTCTTTCCCTTTCCCCCTCCTTCCCTACCTCCCCCCTTCTCTCTCTCTCTTTCCCTCTCCCTCCCTCTCCCCCTCCTTCCCTACCTCCCCCCCCCATCCCTCCTATCTCTCTCTCTTTATCTCTGTTGCTCTCCCTCTCTCTCTCATGCCTTATGCCTTTTTCTGTTCTCTCTCTCTTCTCTTCTCCTTCTCTTATCATCTCTCCAGTCCTCCTTCTCTTATCATCTCTCTACTCCTCCTTCTCTCTCTCCCTCCCTCCCTCCTTCTCCCCCCCTATCCCTCCTGTCCCTGTCTCTTCCTCTATCTCCGTTGCTCTCTCTCTCTCTCGTGCCTTGTGCCTTCTGTTCTCTCTCTTCTCTTCTCCCTCTCTCTCCATCCTTCCATTCCTCTCTCTCTCACTCTGTCTTTCCCTCTTCCTCCCTCTCCCCCTCCTTCCCTCTCTCTTTATCCCTCTCCCTCCCCGTCACTCCCTCATTCACTCTCTCTCTCTCTTTCCCTCTTCCTCCCTCTTCTTCCCCTCCTCTTTCTCTATATCTATCTATCTATCTATCTATCTATCTATATATATACATACGCATATCTATCTCTATATATATAGATAGATAGATATAGATATATATACACACATAAACATAAATAAATAAATACAGTAAGTCCCCAACTTAAGAACATAATGGGGACCGAGAGGCTGTTTGTAAGTTGATTTGTTTGTATGTCGAAAGTTGGGTCTCCATTACCTTTTTTCCCATTGTTTTAAAGTTTTGTTTCCATTAAGAATACCTGTAAATAAATCCCAATAAGTACGACATACCTTATACAGTACCGGACTCTTGAACTACATTTGCCCCCGGGAAATTTGAAGTTTGCTAGCATCTTTCAAACAATTTTTTTGACTTTAGTACTTTAAAAATTTTGTTTGTATGTATGGAATGTTCATAAGTAGAATGTTCTTAAGTAGGGAACTATCTGTATATATATATTCATATAATTTCCCAATTTTACCTAAGAAATAATCTTTCAGTCTTCCTCGTAGACAATGCAAGTTTATTTTTCAATTCTCTCTTACCCAAATCTGACACAAATGGCATATACATACATGCTATGCCCGCTGTGAGGTTATTTTATTGTTTTTACACACAGATGGTTACACTTGTACCAATGAGCCAATTACAAGTACTGCCTGTCTTGCCTGTTTATCCTTTTCCTTGATTTTCGAAAATATTTTGTTATCTTATATTGCTGTTACTAATGTAAATAACATTATAACAGTTATAACGTCTATAATAAAAATAACACCATTGATATTCATAGCATTGGTAAAAAAAAAAAAAGTCTTTTCCCACTAATTCAAGGAAAGGTGAAATAAGGTAGTGTCATAAGGTCTACTGACTCCTTTGTGGATAAGAACTAGCAGAGCCATCTATGTGCAGAGACATTTCACAAAAGATTGAAAAGTGGGCATCATTTTCCCAGCAGCTTTGAGTTAATATAAATAGGATACACAAACAATGAGTGAAATACTGGCTTTATTGCTCATGCTAAGGAGTAAGACTTCTTGGCATAACTTTGAAGCAGATGAACATTTTTTTTTTCTTTTTTTTTTAGTGGAATCAAAGTATGCAAAACAAGCTGGCACAAAACTTCATATAAAAATTGTTAACAAAATTATAAAAAGTATATCTTATTAGGGTTATGGTTACCAAAAAAATTAATTAAAAATTATAAAATAAAATAAATAATACAAAATGGAGTATGATTACAATAATAATAATAATGAAACAGAGGAAAAAAATTATTGCACGCACACACACATGCTCAAAAACTAAAAACAAAATAAAGCCTGTTGAATACATACAAAAGATGGAGGTGTTCTAGATGGAATGTGGTGCAATCTTCACTTGTTTTTCCCCCCCTTAAGACTTGGCTTTCAAGCAAGTGGGTCTTGTAAATGGGTTTGGCACACATAAATGTCACTGATCAACCTTGGTGCCGAGACATGTCGAGGCATTGGGCAGAATGCCTCTTCCTTAGTCTCAAGAGATGGAGGGGATAGGGGCGTGGTATGTGGGGGGGGGACATAATGGCCAACAACAACAGTCTAACATCTGTACCCAAAATGTACACTTACAAAAATAAGAACCATTCCCTATACACCTGCGAGGGCTGAACATTCGAACTGTGTATATACTCTTCAATGCCTGTCTTCACAAAATGTCTTGAACTTAGGACATAACTTGTTATCACACATATCATCTGAAATTCATAACATGGATATGTATCCTCTAAAACCAATGATTACTTGATATGGTATAAATTTATATTTACGAGTAAAAATATGTCACCTTTAATAATACGAGACTTGATATACTGACAATTATACAGTGTCACAGTTGTTACAGTTTACAATATTACATTAATATACAATGTCCATTATGAATATAATTTTCAAATTTCAGTGGGAACATGTCAACAATTATATTTCAATGAGAATATGACACACATGGAACTTAAAAATGCAATGTAGGTTTAATGCATAAGAGTTACATAAGAGGAGGAAGCTGGTATATATGACAAACCTCCTTCATTCTCAGAAATTGCTTTTACTTTTACATTGGCATGTCATCTACTTGATTGTCTCTGACCAAGTCCAAGAAAATCCTTACTTAATTTCCTCTACACCTGTTCTCTCTTAAGGCACGTACAACAGTAACAGGCAGGTATGTCACTACCCATAAATGTTGATCAACAATGCTTTTAAACACAACTGCATGGGCCTGAGAGTATGGGAAAACATTGATAACAATGTTATGGAATTAGAGGGAAGGGGGAAACTATGTACCAAAAAATAAATAAAAATGAGGAATAACAATAAAATTTTAAAAAACTGGTCCTTTAAAACCACATTCCTTAAGAGTAAAGTTTAGCTATTGTTAACTCCTTAAAATTGACAGTCTTCAGTAAACACAAGACGTACTCAGTTTTAATTGAACAAAAACTAAATGAACTGCCTTCCGCACAGATTATGAAAATCATAATAATCTTTTCTTTTGTCAATAGGGGGCCAGCAAAAAGGATGGAAGACTAGATCATAAAAAAATAACTTAACACTAATTGGCATTAAACTACAAAACTAAATTCAAATGTTACACTAATTCTTACTGATCTATGGATTCTAAATATTATACACTTTGGTGGGAAGTGACTGAATGTGTTGTGGAGGAGGGGGGGGGGGGTTGTTCTGGGTATTGTACTGCAAGAAATGAAGATAAATAGGAATATAGGACAGAAGTAGAGAGATTTGGAAAAAGGAATATCAAGACGGTGGTGGAAAAGACATAGGAGAGGGGGGCTGGGAAAGAGAGAAAGAGAGAGAGAGAGAGAGAGAGAGAGAGAGAGAGAGAGAGAGAGAGAGAGAGAGAGAGAGAGAGAGAGAGAGAGAGAGAGAGAGAGAGAATCAATAGCTGTGTGGGTTGAACGGGGTAGGTTGGGGCAACATGAGAAACAAATAAATCTTATGCCTAAAAATGTCTATAAGTTATACTGAGTAAAGAGGGGGAAAAAAAGAATAAGAAAAGGAAAGAAAGAAAGAAAGAAGAAAAAAAAGCTAAACATGACTTTTCTACTTGCTACAGGGACTCCCTAAAGTTTGTCAAATCAAAAACAAAAAACAAAAAACTTTATATAAATAAATAATTAAAACACCAATGTTTGTTGCGTTTCATAATTTGTAAAATAAACTACATATGCCTGTTACAAAATATGGAAGCCTATAACTAAAGAGGTTATCAACCTTCCCCACCGTGAGTGAGGGACAACCGAAGAGACATGCACAAATTGCTTAATCAGAACGATAACTAGGTACATTCTGTGTTTGTTTATAAGCTAACCTTTAGCAACCTTTGTTCTGTTTTTATATTTATAAAAAAGAATTAAGAAAAAAAAAAAAAGTTTTGGATTTCCCTTTAAAAAAAGTAAAATAAAATGATATAACTACAACTAATTTCTTCAGATTAATAATAACATAAGTGAAAAACTATGCCATCTCTAATCACTTGGCAATGAATGTTCTTTTCTCGTTGTCTGGACTTACAAAACTACCCAACTCCCAGCCGTTCCGAGGTAAGTCTCCTAGGAGGCCTAAGTACATTGTAAAATTGGAAAAAACAAATCACTTATAGAAATTACTTTAAAATAACAAAATAATAATTGATTAAACAATAATAATAATTTGAAAACAAAGAAATAAAAAAGAGAAGTACCATATTCATCTCTCAACTTCTGGAGAGAAAAAAAAAGGGGGGAAAAAAAAAAAAAATCTTATACATATTAAATTTGATTTGCAGTTTGAAACATTCCTCCTATACAGCCTAGAGTTTATTTTTTGTCCTGGAGTTGGGCCTGCATCCTGGCCATCATCTCCTGCATCTTTCGGATCTGAGCCTCCTTCTCCTGCAGCTCCATGGCCATTCGCTCCTTGTCTGGACCACTCACCATTGCTGTTGGCCTGTTAGGAATTAGCATTGGGAATTAGTATTCAGCAGATAAATGGATAAGTAAGCCATGTTGGTTCTAAGGAATCTCTTACTACTCTATACATTCTTTCTGAAGATGAAGGAATGTGCTTGGCTACATCTGCTTTAGACAAGAATACTCATACACACAAATGTAAATATCTTTATGTCCTGCTCAACCAACTATGGTCAAACATACACATATATAATCATGAGAACAAAACATTCCCTGTATACTTACGACTGTTTTTTTGGTGGAGCTGCAACAGAGTTAGCATTGGTGTTAGCAGCAGCACTTGCTGTCAGGGGAGCTGACCCACCCTTTGCCAGCCTTTCTGACCGGTAGTTCTCATAGTGTACATCTTGCGTGACTTCTGTTAGGTCCTGCATATGGGTGCTGAAAATGGATTTTTTTTGTATTTTATAATCTGCTTCAACAATTGACCAGCAAAGAGGGAAATGATCAAAATAATTAAAGCAGTTTCAAATCATTGTGAGAAGAACAAGAAGAAAAAGGAAAATCACAAAAATAAACATTATCATTTAATATATTTAACTTTTCTCCTTGTTTAACCCTAATTACAATCAGTCTTGTGTCTCTGTCTTTAACCCAATGGTGCCGGGGAAAATGAACAAAAAATGGGGAAAATATTGTGCCCACTTTCTATGTTTTTCGTGAAATGTCTGCCAATAGATGGCTCTGCTAGCCTGATTTGAAATGGCAGGAAAAACGTATTTTTCACTAGTGCTATGAAAATCGATGGTGTTATTTTTATCATAAACATTATAATTTTTATATATTTTCTTAACATTAGTAACAACAAAATAAGATTACGTAAAATATTTTGTAAATCAAAGAAATGGGTAAATGGGCGAGACAGGTGGTGCTCGTAGTTGGCTCATTGGTGATTTAGTACAAGTGTTGCCATCTATGCGTAAAAACAATCAAACAAGTACTCACGGTGGGCATAGCACGTACGTACACGTCATACCCGGTACCAAGGGGTTAAAAAGAAACTATATGGACAGAAGACAAAGATGTAGAAGAAAAAGAAGAAACTAACCCTAATAGACAACGGAGTTTAATGAAGTCACAGTGATTGGGATTCTCCACCTCGATGACACCCCAAGGGTACTGCCGCCCTCGGACTTTCTTGCCACCCACATCCAGCACGGTTGTGGAGCCCACCACTGCGAAGGGCACGGCCTCCTTCAGTAATCGCACCTGTTGGGGAAGAAGCATGGTGTTCAGTAATGCAGACCAGAATAAGAGACTGACCAAGAGATCCAAGTGAGACAGATGAAGAGAGAATAATGAATGGGTCAGTGGGGGAGATGAAGAGGGAAAATATTTATGGTCTGAGAGATGGAAAGGGAATTAGTGAAGGAGGCAGCAGTAACATGTATGAAGAGGTATTACAGATATGGTAAAGGGGTAAGAGGAAAGGGAATGTGAAAGAAACTAGAAGTAGGAGGTGATTAGAGAGAGAGAGAGAGAGAGAGAGAGAGAGAGAGAGAGAGAGAGAGAGAGAGAGAGAGAGAGAGAGAGAGAGAGAGAAAGAGAGAGAAAGAGAGAGAAAGAGAGAGAAAGAGAGAGAGAGAGAGAGAGAGAGAGAGAGAGAGAGAGAGAGAGAGAGAGAGAGAGAGAGAGAGAGAGAGAGAGAAAGAAAGAGAAAGAGAGAGAGAAAGAAAGAGAAAGAGAGAGAGAGAGAGAGAGAGAGAGAGAGAGAGAGAGAGAGAGAGAGAGAGAGAGAGAGAGAGAGAGAGAGAGAGAGAGAGAGAGAAGAAAGAGAGAGAGAGAGAGAGAGAAAGTTGCACACTGAATAATTTGGGAAGTACCTTCCAAACTCTACTAGTAGTCATTACCAATTCTCTATCTTCACCTACATATGGCATGGCCTAGGTTGATGATATCTGAACTGCTTCTCTTTCACACAGAAGGATCCAGTTACATCAAAGCAATCAAACTGCCCAAAATCGGGGCTTTCAGGAGAGGAAGATAAGGCAAACCTGACAAGAGTTATCCTAAGTCCTTATACTCATCCTCACCTGCTCCTTATAATCCTCCTCCTCATCTCTCTTTCACACAGAAGGATCCAGTTACATCAAAGCAATCAAACTGCCAAAAATCGGGGCTCTCAGGAGAGGAAGATAAGGCAAACCTGACAAGAGTTATCCTAAGTCCTTATACTCATCCTCACCTGCTCCTTATAATCCTCCTCCTCATCCGTGTCACAGTCTGGGAGTGGATAAATGTGGATTCCATTCTCTTCTATCTCATCCAATACCTGAAATGATAAAAGTAGTTAGATGCGATTAGATACTCTGCTGCTCATTAAACAGTTGGATTTCAAAGATCTTTATCACAAAGAAAACGTAATGAAATAAAAAAAATGGAAAATAAAAGGTAGAAACGAGTGCTAAAACCATGAACAGCATGACTAATATAATAAGGATCACAAGGAAAAAACTCACAACAGCCAAAACACACAATACAAGCATTAAACAAAAATATAGGCCTACCACTTACTCTAAATGGCAACACACCACTAATTTTCAGTCCCTGACTATCACTACCCTCACACACTACTCTCACCTTTCGTTTCAGTTTAGCCACCTCTTGCTTGGTAAGGGTATCAGCCTTGGCAATGACGGGAACAATGTTGACCTTGTTGTGGAGTTGCTTCATGAACTGGATGTCCAAGGGCTTTAACCTGACAAGAGAAATAATAATTGAGTAAAGCACTTCCACTATACACTAAAGAGATGATAAGTCATTCTAATGTAAACAAATTCCTAGTGTATTATTCATGTTATCAATATACCTAAACCCTTTGAGTGCATTAGGCTATCATAGTCATAATTCTAATCTACCATTCATGGGACATCGAGGGACTGCAGTCCACACCCTTTGCCACCGGGTGGCATGTATGTACATGTCATGGCATGCCTGGACTATTAAATTATGCCACATTTTTCATATGAGATGCTTTTTAGGCCTTTTAAAAACTGTTACTTTTTAGTGTCATTACAAGAAAAACAGCAACAATGTTCAGATTACCACTTTCAATATTTTTGGTACTGAAGATGCCACGGCCTACAGAATCTTAGCCATGATCAAAAGCTTAAACTTTATGCACTATCATCAAAATGATAGTCCTGGACTTAATAGTTACATTTTTGATTTTCCTAATTTCAAGTTTTGTATTGAAAGATAGAAAAAATAAGGTTTCCAGTCTTTTTCAAATTGTCAGATTAAATTATGTAAACAAAATTTTAGTGACAAGCCAATTCTTAACCCCTTGGTGACTGGTCAAGCGTCACTCAAGCGTCATAACAAACTGCTTGATCTGTGGAGTGTGGCTGTATGAAGTGGCAGGCATGCCAAAGCGCTGAACTCCTGAATAAGGATTATCTAACAGCATTTCCATTTCCTGTTCAAAGTCGGCTTGTAGCCATTAACCCCTTCTCGACGGGTGACACTGATAGGTGTGAAAACAAATCGCTTGAAAACTGGCGTGCGGCTGTATGCCGTGGCGGCGGCAAGCCGGTGATTCGGCCTGATGTACCGAACTCCCGCACTCAAAGTTGGCGCGCTGCCATGGTTCGCCAGAGCGTACATTTTTTTTTTTCTTCACCCTTCACCATTGGCTAAATCTCCAGAGCTTAGAGTTTTAAAAATTTTTCTTCACCCGTCAGTAAGGGGTTATCAACTGAAGGCTTTATAAATGAACTGGATATCACTACCTTATAAAGTATGAAAATACAAACAATAAAATACAATGTAATCATTGCAAGTTGTACCCGTGGCCAGCAGGATTGATGAAGTAGAAGCAGCAATGTACTCTGTTGTCAACAATGTGGCGACGGTTGAGGCCAGACTCATCCTGCAGGTAGCGCTCAAACTGGTCATTGATATAACTGATGATGGACTGGAAGCTAGAATTGAGAGATTGAGAAAAAAATTAATAAATAAGTGAGTGCAGAATCAAGCTGAATAAGAGAGAGAGACAAGGAAAAAACAAGATATACAACTTGATAAGCTGACAGAAGTGAATCACTTATCATATTTCTCAAATTACAATTCACAGTAAGAAGCCATGTACAATTAAAAGTACTTAATCCCTTGAGACTAAATTCAAATAAAGCAATATCAAAGCTGTAGCCTAACATTAAAAACAAAATCAAATCATTTCATAACTCATTTCACAACTATTCCCAACAGAAAAATATCCTTACCAGTCAGTGTTGTCAATGGCATCTCCATAACCTGGAGTATCAACAACCGTCAGTCGCACCTTTACGCCTCTCTCTTCAATCTCTACAGTTGACACGTCTATCTTGACAGTCTTCTCGATGCATTCTGTTGGGTTGGGAGGAGAGGAAGATAAGTTGAGATGCTGATAAAAGGCCTATCATATAAAAGTAAATTACCTTGCACTTTATACGTTTTACACATCTATCACGTACTTTCTCTAAATTTGTACAGTTTAGTGTGTATCCACAAAAATGTCTAGCAAGCCATTTAATTCTTTTCTATATAAATGTAGTGTAGTATTTTATTATTAATATATATATTCTTAAATACAACAAAAAATATTTCTCTTGTGTAAATCCACTCATAATAGGATAAGACCAAACATACAAAGGTTCTCAAATCCTAATCAAGATTAAAATAATCACTGACTCTGAACCAGACGCCATTCAGGGAATTACCACCTTTCTGAGGAACTAGCGGAGCCTGACCTTAGCTTGATTTACCCAAATCCTGTTTATTTTTTGCAGACAATGAGGATCTATAGCCTTCAAAATATGATAAAAATTATACACATAGTATCACAAAAATGCCATGATGCCATCCTAGATATGCCTATGAAAGACTTGAGAGCAGCATCTACGTTGTTCATAAATACATGTACAGAAAGTTCATGAAGATAGTTTGTTTATTTAAGAAAGTACACAAATGTGTGTCTTGTGTGATATTTCCTTAATGAAATGGAAAAACTGAGGAAAATACTCAATGTACCCCACATTCATCTAGTAAGACAATATACACAAACAATAATACAGTAATAACACCACTAGCAAAGATGATTTTCATAAATAGTCAACTCAACCCTACAACTACAAGTGACACTGAACTCTCTTCCTATATGGAAAGCAGCAACTTGCCTTGAGCTGAGGGCATAACACGATCAGGATACA